ATGCAGCCAGCAGGCCTGAGAACCTTTGGTCTGGGGCAGTGGTATACAAACTTCAGTGGCTTCAGAATTAACTGGAGGGCTCCTTACAACCCAGAAGGCCGGGTTTCACTCCAGAGGTTCAGAGTGATGCAGGTGATCCAAGGGCCAAGGTTTGACGACACTGCACTTGCAGCCTGTGGACAGAAGCCTGTGGTTTGTAAGCACGAGGTTTTGGGGAGGTTCGAACGTAAAAGCCTAAAGCCAGGCTCTCTCAGCACAGGCCCCATTCTTCCCTATTGCTGCATTTAGGGGCATCTTGCTCTCTTGTGTTCCTTGCCTGGCCTTGATGGTGTTGGAGTTTGTGTCCTGGCAAACGCACGGAATGCTGGAGCTGGAAAGAACCGTTGAAACCTTTCAATCCAACTCTGTCACTGCATCTGGGGAAACCAAGGAATGCAGTGTTTGCCCAAAGACCTTCACAAGAGTGATGTCAATAGAACCATTCCCTTCCCTAAGGACCAAGCTCATTTGCTATTCATTGGTATCAGGGCATATTATTTTAACCCTGTAATATCAGCATTAAATGCAATAATCAAAATAGTCTGACAGTTTGCATTTTTTGGCACCAGTCTGTTCCTTAATGGTGAAGTGACCTTCAGCAGAGGACTTAAACTTCCTGACCTATTCTTCATTTGGAATCAACCAGCAAAACTCCTTGTTCCTTCCTATTATTGCTTATACTCTCTACAACAAAATTAGAGATAAGGGCAAAATAGTTTCTGCTGGGTATTGAGGGGGGGAGCGGGAGGGGGTGGAGTGGGTGGTAAGGGAGGGGGTGGGGGCAGGGGGGAGAAATGAACCAAGCCTTGTATGCACATATGAATAATAAAAGAAAAATGAAAAAAAAAATGGAAAACCTAACTTACCATAAATGACCCATGTGAAGCGTTCAGTACTCAGTAGAGATGGGAGCACAGTAGGTGGTAGCTTGATTTGGGATATTTTAAACTTTGCCCACCCTAGAATCTTCCCTCTCTACTGAAACATTATTTACACCTTTATTCTTCCTATTCAAGAAACAACATGGCAAAGTTTCAATAATAGTAAATAAATTCGGGGGCTGGAGGTGTGGCTCAAGTGGTAGAGCAGCTGTTTAGCAAGCACAAGGTCCTGAGTTCAAATTCCATACCACCAGAAAAAAATAAATAAATCTGGAGGGTGGTTTTATGTCAGTGTGACCACTGGGAGATTTCAGTCCCTTATCATGCAGGGCTACTTGATATCTCACAAGATCCCAGCAACACCTCAGTGGGGATGAGGTACCCACTAAAGTAGGTTTTTCTGGGAAAGTTATCCATTTGAGCAATTCTTCCACGAGTAAACTCTTTAACAGCGATTTCTCTAGAACAAATCATACACCCACTGTTGTTGGAAAGTGAGGCCTGTGGGAGAGTGAGAAGGGCTGGTTACTCCCCGTCACCCACCCCAGCGTTGTTTGCAGGACTTCCGGTTTCTCTTTCTACCACACCAGTAATGTGCCCTGCATTCTCTTCTCTCACCTCATCTTTCCAGAGACCCATGAGGACCAAGAGGGAGAGTAAGGGGCTATGTCTGCTTCAATTACATCACTGCCATCTACCTGCACTGTGAGCCAGGCACACAACAAATTCTTCATGCCACTGCTCCCAAGGTGCCATTAGGAACTGTAGCAGTTTCAGTTCGAAGTCACTGGACTAAGAACAGAGTCTTCTAAAGTTACCCTGCAATGAACTGAATGTTTGTGTCACTCCCGTGTTCACATGTTGAAGTCCTCACCCCGATGTGGCACTACTAGGATGTAGGGCCTTTGGGAAGTGATTAGGGCATGAGGGTGGAGCCCTCATGAAAGTGATTAGCGCCCTTATAAAAGAAACCCCAGAAAGTTCCTGCACCCCTTCCGTCACGTAAGGACAGAGTAAGAAGTCAGAAGTCTGCAGCCTGGGAGAGGACCTTTGCTGGAGCACAATAATGCTGGTTCCCTGAACTCAGACTTCCAGTCTCCAGAACTGTAAGAAATAAATGTTATTGTTTATAAGTGTGTCAGTTTGTCATCGCTGTGACCAAACACCTGGGAAAGTCAGCCTAAGCCTAAAGGAAATATTTGTCTCATGGGTTTAGTCCATGGTAGGCTGGCTCCATTGCTTTGGGCCTGAAGTAGGGAGGCAGAACACCAGGGTGGCAGAGTATGGTGGAGGAAGGGTGCTCAGGAAGGAGAGAGAGACGGGAAGGGGTTGGGGACAGTATACACCCTTCAGAGACACACCCTCAGTGACCTGTTCCTCCAGGTAGGCTCTGGCTATGAATGGGCAATGGGTTAATCCACTGATGAGTTAGCATCCTTGTGATCCAATCACCTCTCAATAGTGCCACTAGCTGGGGACCAAACCTTCAACACATGAGCCTTCCAGGGGACACTGCATACCCAAACCATAACAATATGCCTGCCACCTATCTACCAAACTTTGCTACAGCAGCTCAAATGGACTGACACACCCCAAAACACCATTGGTCCACTTCCTTCATGGAGCCATGTTTTTGAAAGATTTTGTGTATCATATAGTAACCACGACAATGACAGCAAGAACAGTACTACCATTTACTAAGCACATCCCAGGTCAAATTTTACCTACAATACCCCACACAGTCTCTGCAAACAATCCCTTGCTGTAGATCTTGTCACAGCCCATTTGACATGAACAAACATGATACACAGTCAGGCAAAATACCTCTTCCAAGGTCCGGCTGCTAACAAGGATGAAAGTCAAGCTGTGCATTAAGTTGTCGTCCATTCAACCTTAAGTATTTGCACGGTGTTATACTTCTTTTTTTCCACAGAAACACACTATGCCTAGTTGCTATGGTTCCTACCTTTGGTTCATTTTCGCAGCCCTGCTGTGTATATATTGAAATACTGAAATACCATGAAATTCACTTAACATATAGCTGGCCATTTTAAAGTGAACAATTCAGTGATGTTTAGTATATTTGTTATATTGTACAACCATTACCTTGATTTAATTCCAAACTATTTTGTCACTCCCCAAAGGAAGCCCTGTGGAAAACAGTGGTTCTCTCTTGAGTTCTACTAGTGTAGGTTCTACCCTGGTGCTATGTTATTTAGTCCCCACCACAATCCAGTGAAGTAATTTGTGTCCATTCCATTTCACAAATGAAGAAAGCAAGGCTCAGAGTAGGCAAGTCCTTGGCCTTTGGAGCTGGACAACCTGGGATCGTGCCCAGCTCCACCACGATGTAATCATTGTGACCTGGGGCAAATTCTGTCCCTCTCCTAGACTCATGCCTAACTCCAACCAAGCTGCTTTATGGGCGGTTGTGAAAAAGTCGATGAGGTGGGCACAGCCCTTGGCACCTGGTCAGCTCTTCCTAAAGGTTCAGGGTTCTTAATGCCCATTTCACCAGTGGCTCAGTAATGCCTGATTCACACCCTTGCTTCTCCTCAAGTTCACAGTTGAGGACCCAGTGGTTTCAGACCTCCATCTCACTCACCATTGCAAGGTGGGCATCAGCTTCTCTTTTAGGGATGAAGGTACTGATGCTCTGCCAAGTTTTGAGACTGACACAGGCCCAGCAGGGGTGATAGTGATGGAGGATTTGAACTTGCTGTCCTTGGCCTTCTAGGAACCTTTGCCTAAATGCCTCCCTAAATTTCTAGGGAGGTTTTCTGGTCTTTCTCCCTCTTGATGGTTCTCTCTGTTACAAGTGAAGCACACATCTTCCCTGCTCTGTCCCTGCAGCATCTCACATGGCACTCCTTTGTCCCCTGAGACAGGTGCCCTGGAAAGTCCTCTGAAGTTCATCATCTCAGTGCCCCAGTGGGCCTGGTTATGGGAAAGGGCTCCAGATGCCTTGTTCAGAGAAGGAATGCACTACAACCAGATAAATCAGCCCTACTACACCATACTCCCAAAACAGCTGCAGTGGAGGGGAGAATGAAAACGAAGCAAAATGAAAGTCTTTGATGAACCCCTTTTGATGCTGTGCTAAAAGTCAGGGAAAGATATTTTAGAAAACATGGTCTATATTCCTGAGAAATCTGTCTGAATTTCCAGATAATGGTGGGGTGGGCTTGAGGGCTGGGGAGCAAGGACGTTCCCTAATTACATCCTGTTAGTGAAGAAAAATGCATTCTTCACCATTACAGACAAGGGGAAAGCTGGGGGTCTCCCATCATACCCGCAACTTGAATTACAGTGAAAAGCTTTTCATCTGGGAGCTTGTGCACTAACTCAAGTCCTGGAGAGCCATTAGGGTAGTGCAGACATCCCCCCCTCCCCCGCCCACCTTGCTCTATTTTTCCTTCAAGGGCCCAGCACCACCGAACCTGCCCCCCTGTCCCTGCCTGGCAGGGATTTTGATGTGATTCCCAGCTGAAGCCCCAGGACCTAAGAACAAAGCTGACACTTAGTAGGTCCTCTATACACATGTTGAAGAGCTGCATATTTTGAATGCACATCTTCCTACTGAGCCCCTCCCCGGCGAGGACGGATGGGTAGGGACTGTCATGATCCCCTAATTCCAGGTGAGCGGCAGGGACAGGATCCTGGTCGTCCTAAAGGTCGGGAGACTGCCTGGTGGGCTGTGACCTTGGGGGCGCTCCCTGCGTCTCCTGGAGCTGGGGTTTCCCCCTCCACACGGGAGGGCCATGAACGCCCCCGGCGCGCCCCACGCAGCCTCTGGCCGACCTGCTGTGACTTGCCCAAGGTCACCCGAGCCGGGGGCCTGCAGCACCCGGCTCGGGAGGGCACGGGCCGGATGGGCGCCGCGCCCCGCGGCGGGTTTTGGGGTGGGGGCCGGCGCGGGGCGGTCCCGGGGCGCGGCGCGCTGACGCCGGGGCCCCGCGATGCGGCGGGGACGGGGCGCGGGGGGAGGCGCGTCGCGAGCGTCCTCCTTTTGTGCGAGCGCCGGCGGCTCGGCTTCTCGAAGGTAAACAGCGCTTCCTCTTCCTCCTCGCTGCGTCTCTTCCTTTTATAGTTATTTCTCGCCTGGCACTCGCCGGGGCCGCCACTCCTGCTGCTGCTGCTGCTGCTGCTGCTGCTGCCGCCGCGGCGGGGGCCGCTCGCGAACCTGTGGCGGTGACGTGAGCCCCGCCAACCCGGAAACGGCGGCGGCGGCACCGGAGGCTCCCGAGGCTCCTGCGCTCCCGCCCGCGCTCCCCTCGCCCGCCCGGGGCCGCCAGGTACGTGCGGGGCTCCGCCGGCGCCGCCGCCCGGCCCGCGCGCGCGCCCTTGGAGCCGCCTTGCACCGGGAGAGGCGCGGGGGCGGGGGCGCGCGCGTGATGGGTACGAGCCGGGCCGCGGGGCCCCGGCGCCGCTGAGGGAGGAGACCGGGCTTCGCAGGGATGGGGACGCCGGGCCGACCGCACGGGGCCACGGCGGAGGCACCTCGGGTGCGCGGAGGGCGCGCGGGGAGCACGCCGCGGTGCCGCCGCCCGGGTCCACCCAGGGCGGGGAGGGGAGCGCGCAGTGCGTGCGCCCGAGGCTCGGGGCGCCCAGGTCCGGGAGGATGTCCCCCCCCGGCGGGCTCCTCCTGCGAGCCAGGTGAGGGCGCAGGGCCTGACCCCGGGCACCGGGCCACCCTCCCGCTAACTTCATCAGGGGCTGGGAAGGCCAGCCGTGTAGAATTGAGGAACTAGAGAGGTGAACAAAATCTCCATTGGCCCCCAGACTTCCTCCTGGGGTAGCCACCCCCTGTGTGTAAAGAGCACTTCCTCTTTGCCCTTTATCTTTTCTTTTCTTCTTTTTCTTTTTTAAAATGGAAGTTCAGTGTTAAGGGGTGAATGCCCTTGCAGCCCGCTGGGCTTTCCTGGGGCTGTGTACACACACACTGGGGCTGGAAGGAACCTGTGTGTTCTTTGAACGTGTGTCCTGTGAGGGGGAGTGGGAGGAAAGAGGAACCAGGACTTCCCTTGCCGGAGGCCTCAGGGGAGGCGGGGTGTCTTTGATCCCCACCCTGCTGCAAAAAATGCAGGGGTGCTGGAGAGATTGGGTGGAAAGGAGGCGCCGCAGGGGAGAGTCATGTGAAATTTGCACCTATATTTAATTCTTGGCCCTGCCACTATCAGCTTTGCGACCTTGGGCAAATTGCCTACCCTCTCTGAGTCTTAGGCTCCTGTCTGTAAAATGGGCTGTTGTGAGTTGAGGCCTAGAGAAGATGAATGGGAATATCCTGACCTGGAGGGGCGCTGTGAAGAGAAGAGTCACTGTTAGTCGTCTTTAATTTTGAATCCCTCGGGATGGGTGCCTGGAGCACAACTGTCACAGAGTTGTGAAATGAAAGGGTGGATGGTGAATTATGAGAAGTGAGCCAGTATGGTTCCCCATTTTGGTTTCCTTGCCCTGTGACAGCCATCCCATAATCCCCACAGAGCCATATTTTGCCACCTGGGCTCTGGAATCTACTCCCTCCCCCATGAGGATTATCTTGGGAGAAATATTGACTCCCTGTGAAAAAGGAGCTCAGCTCTGACTTTGAGGCTCTCCCATTCTTGGAAGATTGCATTCGGTGGTAATAAAAAGGAAGCATCATTTTGATTGCCACTGCCAGATGACTGGCCCAAGCGGCTGCCAGGGCTGCCAGCTGGGATGAATTCCCAGGCCTGGGGCTTCCTGTCACAGTGGAGGAGACTGGGAAGAGGTGGGTTTTCTCCTGTGGTCAAGCAGGTCAGAGTAGTCTGCTGGCCTGAGCAGAGCTTTCTTCCTGGGGAGGCCCACTGTAATTCGTATTCTCTAGACTTTTGTTGGGCTTTCAGCGTGGGAAAGGTGTGTGAATGAGTAAGAGAGGGAGAGAGATGAAGGAGGTTACAGAGGGATCTTTGGAAGTGGCTTTCTGTTAAAGACCTGGAATGTATTTCTGCACTTTACTTTGGGAAATTTTCAGGAAATTTGCTTTCTCAGATAGCCATCACTTGTCCTTTCTCAGCCTTCTGTGTACCTCCTTTAAGATCCTTAGCCAGGTGGGGCTTTCCCACACCCATGGGGCAGGAGATGAGTCTACTGATATTTTTGAGGGCAAGAGCAGGTCCATCTGTCCCAGTGCTGTGCTGCAGTTTGTGCTCTGGCCATGCTTACGTGTGTTAAATTGACTTTACGAAGACTTGGAGAGTCTAGGACCTGCCCAAGACTCTCAGCCACTGAGAGGCAGATTCTGGGTCCCCAACTAAGTCTTGTGGCTGCAAAGCTGATAGCCATTCTTGTAGGTCCTGCTGCATTCTCAATGCCTTTGTGTCCTCTGGCACTTGATACGCTACCTGGTTTATACTGCAGCCTCAGTTCATGTTTTTTTGACAGAATGAATAAAAGAGTGATGGTTTCCCTTTGCTGTTTATGAATTAATTTTGTCTGCATCTCAAGGTCAGTACCCTGGCCTGTAAGTGACCTTGAAATTGTTCTCTAGTGGTCCCTCTCAACATAGAGTCCAGTGCTTGGCAGCTTTTACTTCAGGATCCAGAGACAGGTGCACAGGGAGGACTCCTGAGGGGCACTGGTGCCGGGAGGTCGTGGCCTCACAGTTTGCCATTGCTGCCATCTCTTTGATTGAAGAGACCACCATTCATGTGGCCTCGGTGGTCTGGGGACTTGACCATCCTTAGTGAAATCATGTGAGGATGTGCTGTGCAGGCGAAATGCAGATTTGTAATTGGTGCCCCTGAGCCAGGTGTGGTGGCAGGCTCTTATAGTCCCAGCACTCAGGATTGCAGGTTCGAGGCTAGCCCGGGCTACATAGTGAGAGTCTGACTGAAAATCAACAGCAACAAATCTGTGCACTTTGGCTGTATGCTGGCCAAAGGTCACTGCCACCTGGTACCCCTCTTGTCCTGTCTACAAACAGACAAAATAATCCCCACCCCAGTCTTTCTCACAGGATTCTTGAGTAAGAGAGAGAGAGAGATCCCTATTCACATCTCAGTTTTCCCTCCTACTGCTGTGTGCCTGAGATCAAGTTTCTTCTCTCCTGGAGACTCGGTGTTTGTGTCTGTAAGACGGGAGATGATTGGTCATGGTGCTGTGTCACTCACTGCAGTAGCAGGAGCAAAACCCTGAACGCAGGCCATGTTCCTGTCATGTGTCCAATGAGTGGTAATCATCCATGTCAATAATAATGGTTGTTTTTTCCCGCAGGAGTGTAGGTATCTGTAGGGTAGAAATGTCTGTCGTAACTGGAATTGAGCTTCCTGATTCAACTGGGGTGGAGGTAGGGCCCCTTCCCCGTGGGGGACATTTGAAAAAGTCCTGTGAAGACAGAATCAGTGAGATCTTATTTTTATCCATATCTCAGGATAAAGGGTCTTTTTCCTCTCTGTGTCTCTGTCTGTCTCTCATACATTCAACTCTATGTTCCTGTGACACTCTTTCAAATCTTCTGTAACCTTGGAGTCTAACTCCTTCCTACTTTCAGGTGAGACTTGACTCCCCCAATTTCTCCAGTGGAAAAAGTTCCTGCCCCTGTGGTGGAACTTGGGTCTTTGACAGTCTTAAAGGGGCATTAGCCTCACAGGTTGAAAGATAACCTTATAGCTAAGGATGCAGCAGGTTAAGAACGATTATTTTTTTTCCCTACCCTTCTCTGTTTCTAGAGGCAGCTAGGGTGTGGCTTCAGGGCCCCCGCTTTCAGGGTTCACACTGGGTTCTACTGCTTATTATCTCAGTATCCCAGGGCAAGGTCCTGTCTGTCTCTTTGGACCTTCTTTATCTGTCAAAAGATGAGAAATAATGACCACTGAAGGCATTGATAGGATTAACTCAGAGGTTGTATGGAAAGTTTCATAGCACAGTGCCCTGCACATAGTAGGTGCTCAGCAGATGTCTGTTCTGCCCCCTCCATGGGCTCTTTCCATCCGGGCCCTGGCCTCATCATTCTACCCTTCGTTAACAGCTCCCGTTCCCCTTGGGAATCAGCCCTTGGCTCGCTGGGTATTCCTCGATAAAAACTGTAGCAGCCAAGCCGTCTGAAGTCCAAGTGTGCTATTTTAAACCAATTGTTGACCGGCTGCTGTATGGGCTTCCACTGAATGGAGATGCTTCCACCAGAGCCTGTCAGGAGGAGTAACGGGGGAGCCACTGAGCTTACGTTCTGTCCCATTGATTTTTTTCCTCTTTTCTGAACACTTGCTGGCTGCCATCTGCTTCTTGAACATCTTGTTCATAAGTGCATAAATAATCGAAGTCGAAGAGGAGGTTTTCTTAAAGAAGTGTTGCTGAGAATGACTTTTATAAATATTTAAGATAATCTGAACCCATTAAAGGAATTGCAGGGTTTATTAAGAAAAAAAAAGGCTGAAAATGTGTTTTGAAAAGGTTCCTTTTCGTTCCAAGTTGAATACAAGGCGAGCGTAGTAAGCGAGGAAGAGCGTTTTCTGAGTGTGGATGCAGGACTTATGAGGAGTCAGTGGGTGGCCATCTGATGTCTTTTTGTTCCATGTTGGCAGGTGTGCACTTGCCTGTTTGTGGGATGGGAGGGTGAGGGGTCAGATCCAAGGGTCAAAGACAGGCCTCAACTACCAAAACTAGTTTTTGAGGGCTGCCTGGGCTTCCTTCAGACTCTGGGAGGGCCATTAAGTGACTTGTACACACATATTTCACATCTTCCTATAGCAGCCAGAGGCAGGCTTCTAGAAGGTTCCAAAGATGAGTCCCTTTTGGTTAATGATGGGCTATCATTTAGTGAGTCCTGGCATGGTTCACATTTGGGAAGCTTCTGGGTGGTAAGTTGGGGGAAGTTTCACAAACTTGAGTGTGCTCCAAGGCCACATGAGCTTCCCTTGCAGATTCTGAGTCAGGTCCAGGGTGGCCTGAGAGTCTACAGGATGTGACACCTGTGGTTTGTGGGTCACACTTTGAATAGGGTGCCCTTAGAGACTGTCCCATCTGACCCCTCTGCTCTTCCTGCAGGATCAGGTGGATAGGAGGGGCTGAGGATGCAGAACTGAATATGTCCCTGAAGGTTCCTGTGGCAGGTAGAACTTAGCTAGTGGAAGAGGAAAGAGGTTTAGGTCTAAAATTCTGCACTCTCATTTAAACTAATGAGGGAACTGGGACCAGAGGGGGAAGTGCCTTGCTCAACAGGCAGAATCAGAGCTGCAACAGAAGCCTTTTGGCTCCAGAGTCTGACTTTTCCCACCACCCCACAGGGCCTCCCTGTTTATACCTTGAGGATGCCCCAGGGCCATGCTTTAGTGAC